CTGTATAAAGTACTTTCTACCCATCAATTTGGATTTCTAAGTAACAGTTGCACAAATGATGCTATGTTCGACCTTTTAATAATGTATACCTAGCCTGAATAACCATCACCCTACAGCTACAATTTTCTGTAGGATTTCTCTGTTTTGACTGTGTAAATCCTCATAATAATAACTTCTAATTAACAAATTGCAACACTACGGGTTCAGGGGAACATCTCTCAAATGGTTTAAGTCGTATCTTGGCAACAGAAGGTAGCTTGTGAGGATTGATAACGTCTATGTCTTCTTGTAAGCCTATAGAATGTGGTGTCCCCCAGGGTTCAGTATTTGGCCCTATTTTATTTCTTGTGTTTATCAACGACATTGCAAATCTAGACATTAGCGGTAAAATCTGCCACTTTGCGGACGATACTAGATACTTGGAGCGGCCCAGATAATACTATGTCCAGTGACTTACGCACCATTAAATCTTGGTGCGATTCTAAATTCCTATGCCTCAACCTTTCAAAAACTAAAGTTTTGTCATAAAAAAGTACTATACAACCTTTGTACTTAATAATACACTACCTATTGACGTCGTGGACTCTGTAAGATTCTTAGGAACTCGTTAAAATGGGACTTGCACATAGAAGCCTTATCAAAGAAACTAAGTTCCGCCTGTTTTGCGCTAAGATCAGTTTCAAAGGAACTTAACTCATCAACCACTAGAATGGTCTATTATGACCTTTTTGAGTAACATCTTCGTCATGCCCTTCCATTCTGGGGTACTTGCTGCGCGACAAAATTTTGATGGTATTTCAAACTTCAAAAGAGAGCAGTCTGATAATTTTATTGGTACTAAACAGTAGAACTCACCGCCAGAATTTCTTGTACCAAAATACTGACTCTTCCGTCCTTATTCATTTTGAATCCGTTTGCTTAATCCGCAAGCAAATAAATATCTGCCTATTCCGAAAGGTCTTCTTTCAACTATCCGTTTAGGAATGCGGAGCACGATATTTATCTGCCAACCCCGAGCTCAGAACTAGCTAAAGGCTCAATACTGTACAATGCCAAGAAAAATGTACAATCATTTCGTCTTCGGAATATCAGTCACTTTCATTCTTCCTGCATTTCGCAAAGCTTTAAAATCATACTCTACTGGAGAGAGTCCTATATGCGGTAAACGACTTTGTTGATGTTTAATCAAGAACAATTTCCTTTGAATTTTAAAATTTTGATAACTTCACACTGGTTAAAGGTCTAGTATTTAGCCATTTAATATTTTATAACCTTGATTTACATTATGTGAACATGATTTTATCCATTTACAGTTTTCCTTTGTAAAATTTTAGCTAATGCCCGTGTTCTGCAATGTCCATATGTTTTATTCGCAATTTCCATGACGAATTTTCAAATTGATTTGTATTGTGCGACATTTTTATTATTTGTGGCTATTTGTTTTTGTGCTTTTCAGTTTTGGTGAATGCTTCTGTCGATTTAGTTGCTCTTTGGCTTTGTGTACAATAAAGTTTTTTCACATGCTTGGTTAATTTTAAGAGCCAAAATGAATTTGCTAAAATAATTGTACTTCGTTCAGTTACGTATTGCTGATGTTATTTTTATATCACGAAAATAACGGCTTTGTTAACTATTGTCGTAATATCATACTGACCGTTACATTTTGTATACCTACGACTCGAAGAACTGTAAACATACCCGCATTCTTGCCTCGAAACTCTTGATGCCGATTTCTTGTTTGCCTTCCTATTAAATGACGGTCCCAGTCATACAAAGCGTTCACACTGATTTACAGGGTGTTTCAAAACAAATGCGAAAATGTGTTTGATAAGATTTTTCTTTAAATTTCGTTAACAAGAATGATAAGGGTAGTTTATTTCAACCCCTTCCACTCACTTTAAAAAAGTGAAAAAATTACCAGAAAGTGTGTTTTCGTAACAGTAATGCTCCCATAAAATTTCATTAGACTATCTCTTTCCGTTTTCAAGATAAAAATAAAAACAATTATTTTCCCGCCATCTTTGTACCGCGATATCTCCCTAATGGTTGACTTTTGACCCAACGTTTATGAAGCAAACTACCCTTTGTTTTGAACAAGGAATCGCCCCCTGAAGTTTTTCGCATTTGTTTTGAAACACCCTGTATATCGATCATCTAGACCGGTAGTTTCACGCTTCCTACCACTCTCCGCTTTACGCTTCTTTCTGCCAGTTTGTCTAAAATCAACCTTCGACTACCCTTTTGATCGTAGAGCGATGAGCATTCTAGTACCCCCCCCCCAAGCCACATATTCCTAATTTTTCCCATATTCAACAAGGGCAATGGCTTTTGCACAGTCTTCGACACTAAGAACTATATTCAATCGTAGATATACAAAATGTAACTGTCAGTATGACATTACGAGAATAGTTAACAAAGCCACCTTGTCATATTAAAAAATAACATCAAATAGTAATGATAACTGAAAAAAATACAAATTGTTGTTGACAAGCTTATTTCGCTCTTAAAAATTAACCAAGGCATGTGTTGACATGAGTCAAAATTCTCAAGAGACATGGCTCTAACCAAAAAATAATGTTTTAGGAAAATTTGCTCACAAAATTATTGCACAGGGTGTTTTAAAGTTAAGGTAAAACATTTTCAAAAAAATCCCAATTTTTAATTTTTTTTCGCGAAAAAAAACTCATAATCGTGTTTTCTGGGGTCGAAATATACTACCCTTAAACATATTTGCACTTATTTAAGATTTACCCTGTATAATATGTATATTGGTATAGTAATAATATATTAACTATTATTTTATTTTGTATTATTAGGATGAGAATGACATATTCAGTTCAATGACATATTCAGAGAGCTGCATGTATACGTAAAGAGGCAATAGATAGAACGAATCACTCCTGGCCATTTAAGTTTCTATAAGCAGCGGCGCAGACTAACAATGTTATGGAGTCGTACCATCGGCGACTCAATAGCAAGTTAGTCCGACATCCCGGTGTATGGGATTTGATACGTATGTAATAATGTTCACATGATTTTCGTGTTTTTAGTTATAAAGTTTGTTTGGCAATAAAACATTTTTCTAATCTTAAGACATTAAGACCCGGTTGTACATAATCGGTCCAGGCTTACACCAAATTCAAAAGAGAGCCTTTTTGAGGCTTAAACTAGGTTTTTAATAATCTTTGTATCCTACAAAAAATACAACAAATACACTACAAGAAAAATATACCTAAGTAAAATTGCCGAGCTCAGGGCTTATCGAAGTTCACATGATCTCGATTTTAAGCTAAGTTTGTACAACCGGGCCTTAATCGCTAAAGAAACTTTAAATAGGGTCTATAAATAATATCTTATTAAGGTTGAGTGTTTAAGACTGCCCTAAATAATCCTTAGAGATGTTGCCTCGACAAACTTTATAAAATAGCTACTCTGTATATAACTATTTCAATTTTCAGAAATACTTACATCGACATACAGAACATGGCAGTAATTGAAATAATACAGTTGGAGAGGAACGCAACAGTGTTCAGGATTGCCCGAAAAAATATTGTCTTTAACGCTAGACTGAATTTAGCCTGGGATAAATAGGACGATGGGCGATTCAGTATGGCGGATTTCCTTCGGCATTATGTCCATCTTGTGGAGCGTTTGGATAGACAAATGAACGAATGGAATGGAGATGTTCCAATGCAACAAATACACTACTAGAAAAATATACCTAAGTAAAATTGCCGAGCTCAGGGCTTATCGAAGTTCACATGATCTCGATTTTAAGCTAAGTTTGTACAACCGGACCTTAATCGCTAAAGAAACTTTAAATAGGGTCTATAAATAATATCTTATTAAGGTTGAGTGTTTAAGACTGCCCTAAATAATCCTTAGAGATGTTTCCTCGACAAACTTTATAAAATAGGTACTCTGTATATAACTATTTCAATTTTCAGAAATACTTATATCGACATACAGAACACGGCAGTAATTGAAATGATGCAGTTGGAGAGGAACGCAACAGTGTTCAGGATTGCCCGAAAAAATATTGTCTTTAACGCTAGACTGAATTTAGCCTGGGATAAATAGGACGATGGGCGATTCAGTATGGCGGATTTCCTTCGGCATTATGTCCATCTTGTGGAGCGTTTGGATAGACAAATGAACGAATGGAATGGAGATGTTCCAATGCAACAAATACACTACTAGAAAAATATACCTAAGTAAAATTGCCGAACTCAGGGTTGATCGAAGTTTACATGATCTCGACTTTAAGCTATGTTTGTACAACCGGGCCTTAATCGCTAAAGAAACTTTTAATAGGGTCTATAAATAATATCTTATTAAGGTTGAGTGTTTAAGACTGCCCTAAATAATCCTTAGAGATGTTGCCTCGACAAACTTTATAAAATAGCTACTCTGTATATAACTATTTCAATTTTCAGAAATACTTATCGACATACAGAACACGGCAGTAATTGAAATAATGCAGTTGGAGAGGAACGCAACAGTGTTCAGGATTGCCCGAAAAAATATTGTCTTTAACGCTAGACTGAATTTAGCCTGGGATAAATAGGACGATGGGCGATTCAGTATGGCGGATTTCCTTCGGCATTATGTCCATCTTGTGGAGCGTTTGGATAGACAAATGAACGAATGGAATGGAGATGTTCCAATGCAACAAATACACTACTAGAAAAATATACCTAAGTAAAATTGCCGAACTCAGGGTTGATCGAAGTTTACATGATCTCGACTTTAAGCTATGTTTGTACAACCGGGCCTTAATCGCTAAAGAAACTTTAAATAGGGTCTATAAATAATATCTTATTAAGGTTGAGTGTTTAAGACTGCCCTAAATAATCCTTAGATATGTTGCCTCGACAAACTTTATAAAATAGGTACTCTGTATATAACTATTTCAATTTTCAGAAATACTTATAATAGTATACAGAAGACATGGCAGTAATTGAGGGAAATAATGCAGTTGGAGAGGAACGCAACAGTGTTCAGGATTGCCCGAAAAAATATTGTCTTTAGCCATAGACTGAACCTGGGATAAATAGGACGATGGGCGATTCAGTATGGCGGATTTCCTTCGGCATTATGTCCATCTTGTGGAGCGTTTGGATAGACAAATGAACGAATGGAATGAAGATGTTCCAATGCAACAAATACACTACTAGAAAAATATACCTAAATAAAATTGCCGAGCTCAGGGCTTATCGAAATTCACTCGAATAATCTCGATTTTAAGCTAAGTTTGTACAACCGGACCTTAATCGCTAAAGAAACTTTAAATAGGGTCTATAAATAATATCTTATTAAGGTTGAGTGTTTAAGACTGCCCTAAATAATCCTTAGATACGTTGCCTCGACAAACTTTATAAAATAGGTACTCTGTATATAACTATTTCAATTTTCAGAAATACTTATATCGACATACAGAACACGACTGAATTTAGCCTGGAATAAACTGGACGATTGGCGATTCAGTATGGCGGATTTCCTTCGGCATTATGTCCATCTTGTGGAACGTTTGGATAGACAAATGAACTAATGGAATGGAGATGTTCTCGATGTAGAAGATCCCGTTCCAGAACCTATCCAGCCACTTAACCTTGGCCCAATCTTGCAAAATCCCCACCTTTTAGAGCCAAATAATTCACCACCTCCACTTATTTCTTTTTCAACCCCAACAAAATGTTCCTGCTTCACCACCACCCCTAGTTTATTTTAATGTAGATCCTCCAGTACGTGTACCAAGTCCTATCCTACCACTACCGAACCGTCCTGTTGACCCCCCTAAAGATTTAGAAAATGGTGGGCCTCCATCGCCACCTCAAATTGTTCAGCATCGCGCTCCTCCTCCGGCTTTACAATTTCCTCCAATTCCAGAATCGTAGTATCGACGGGTAAAAACCGTTTTTTTTTTACTGTAAGGAATCTTGATGGGAGGTAGGACGATGGTAACCGAACGTGGTTCGTGGTTCCCGACGGGACAGATTATTTAAGCGACGGGAGCGCGAAAACGGGGTTCTTCCTGTTGAGACTAAGTACAGGTGATCTTTTCTAAGTAAACCTCGCGAGTCTGATCCGTTTTTTTATCAGCGCTGCTGTAAAAACCGAATTCTTGAGTTTTAAAGTAAAAGTACCGTATCTCCGTTTTTGATTTTAAATAAGTATAAATCGTGGTCGCAAAGATTTGATTTAAAATAAGTCTAAACCGTATTTCTGATTTATGAGTATAGATAGTTAAAAAACCGAGCATTTAAGTTTTTTATACCTGACCGTGAATAGACAACCAGACCGTTTCGTTTTGATCCGACGCCGATTTTCTTAAGTTTTCTTTATACCTGACCGTGAATAATTAGTGTGCCTTGATTCCGGGCTGCTGTAGGCGATTCAGAAAACCAGACCGTTTCGTTTGATCCGACGCCGATTTACTTAAAAAAAAAGAGAGGTAATCACATTCTTTCTTTTTTTTGTAACCGACAGATACCCCATCAGAGTTCTAGTAATCACAAATTTTAGTTTCAGCACAGTAGTTTTTTTTATTTGATTTTTATGGTATAAAATTCCTTTACGGAGGAGGAGTTAATTAATTAAGGTTCCTCTTTTATTTTACCATAATAATAATATTTCTTATATATCTGATTTATTTAAAGATGCATGTGAATATGTATTGCTAGTATTTCTTCATATTTGATTTATTTGAAGATATTGGATTCATAATTAATTTAATTTATTAATTAATTACTTAATTATTTGCTATTGTAATTTACTCATTTAATTTCTCTGTGTTAGATTTTGATATTTCAGCTTGTTATAGTATTTCTTCATATTTATTTATTTGAAGATATTGGATTCATAATTAATTTATTTAAATAAACTCGTTATGGAATATATTCGACTTTAACTGGCTTTTACCCCATTTCCCTGGATTCTCCACTGTAGAAAAGCTACCCGTATTGGCCGAGGTGGTCTCTCAAACACTTTAAACTTTGGGGGTGGCGCCCGAGAATAAAAAGACCGACTGTTAGGCGTTAGTAATAGCTCTCTAGAAAAAAAGGCTGTTACAACAGTTACCTTATTCAATGTCCAAGTTGCTAAGTGTGCAATATGTAGAGCAGAACTGCACGGTGAATCTCTCCCTATGTACATTTAGGTTTAGTATATTTAAAATTTTACGAGAGTTTCAGTGATTGCGAAAAACTGTAAATTACGTCGTAGGTTACGATGTTCGGCCTCCATCGCCACCTCAAATTGTTCAGAATCGCACTCCTCCTCCGGCTTTTCAATTTCCTCCAATTCCAGAAGAAATTGGAATATTATTTGCTGCATTTGACAATGAATATAATTTTCATCGGATCGTCGAACATCGTAAGTATATATATTTGTTGTTGATATATTATTATTAATACTATAAGTTATAATATTATGGTTTTTTAAAGGTTGAGAACCAACGATTCCGGGCACTGTATTCGACGATCTTTCTATGTCACCTGCACTGCGCTGCCTAGTTTGCTATTTGAATAAGGTGCAATATGTTATGGAATGTGGGCATGCATTCTGCACGACTTGTACAGAATGTACAGTTACCTTATTCAATGTCCAAGTTGCTAAGTGCGCAATGTGTAGAGCAGAACTACACATAACACAACAACATTGTATTTATTGTATTTATTTGATATATTATTATTAATACTATAAGTTATAATATTATAGTTTTTTAAAGGTTGAGAACCAATGATTCCGGGCACTGAATTCGTCGATCTTTCTATGTCACCTCCACTGCGCTACCAGGTTTGCTATTTGAATAAGGTGCAATATGTTATGGAATGTGGACATGCATTCTGCACGACTTGTACAGTTACCTTATTCAATGTCCAAGTTGCTAAGTGTGCAATGTGTAGAGCAGAACTACACGGTGAATCTCTCCCTCTGTACCTTTAGGTTTAGTATATTTAAAATTTTACGAGAGTTTCAATGATTGCGAAAAACTATAAATTACGTCGTAGGTTACGATGTTCGGCCTCCATCGCCACCTCAAATTGTTCAGAATCGCACTCCTCCTCCGGCTTTTCAATTTCCTCCAATTCAGAAAATTGGAATATTATTTACTGCATTTGACAATGAATATAATTTTCATCGGATCGTCGAACATCGTAAGTATGTATATTTGTTATTACCCACATGAACTATAAACAAGTATATATAATATTATGGTTTTTTAAAGGTTGGGAACCAATGATTCCGGTCACTGTAATCGACGATCTTTCTATGTCACCTGCACTGCGCTGCCTAGTTTGCTATTTGAATAAGGTGCAATATGTTATGGAATGTGGGCATGCATTCTGCACGACTTGTACAGAATGTACAGTTACCTTATTCAATGTCCAAGTTGCTAAGTGTGCAATGTGTAGAGCAGAACTACACATAACACAACAACATTGTATTTATTGTATTTATTTGATATATTATTATTAATACTATAAGTTATAATATTATAGTTTTTTAAAGGTTGAGAACCAATGATTCCGGGCACTGTATTCGACGATCTTTCTATGTCACCTCCACTGCGCTACCAGGTTTGCTATTTGAATAAGGTGCAATATGTTATGGAATGTGGACATGCATTCTGCACGACTTGTACAGTTACCTTATTCAATGTCCAAGTTGCTAAGTGTGCAATGTGTAGAGCAGAACTACACGGTGAATCTCTCCCTCTGTACCTTTAGGTTTAGTATATTTAAAATTTTACGAGTTTCAATGATTTGCGAAAAGTGTAAAAATAACGTCGTAGGTTACGATGTTCGGCCTCCATCGCCACCTCAAATTGTTCAGAATCGCACTCCTCCTCCGGCTTTTCAATTTCCTCCAATTCCAGAAGAAATTGGAATATTATTTGCTGCATTTGACAATGAAGATAATTTTCATCGGATCGTCGAACATCGTAAGTATGTATATTTGTTATTACCCACATGAAGGATAAACAAGTAACATTTATTTGATAGATTATTATTAATACTATAAGTTATAATATTATAGTTTTTTAAAGGTTGAGAACCAACGATACCGGGCACTGT